TTGGTGGGCTTGTTGGTGGACAATGGCTGTGAGAGAGGCCTCAGTACAGTACTCCCACAAGAGAAACTGGGACCACTCCAGCCTTCAAGCCTTGCAAGGGCCGTCCTCCGACCCCAAGCCTGCCGCTCCTCTCGCCCTGGGACTCCTGTGGCAGGATGGCCATTCACCTGGCAAAGAACTTGCTTTGCTGCTACACGACCACTTTTATTTGCTGCATCTGTTGTTTGTTTTGACTTTTGCCCTTTTCACGACGTATACGCCAGTTAATCCGCTGCTCATAATCTCATTTGTGAAGCTTGCACATCGGGTCACCGCATTCACTGAGTTGCTTCAGTTGAGTGAATGTGGATGCATTTTGTGCCAGTCACATTGATTAATGGCTTGTGGGATCACCACAGTATCCCACCGTTCTTTCCCCAGAACAACGGTGCTCCCCTCCGAGTCAAATGCATCTGGTTAACAATGTGTTTCTTCAGACTGGAACTCCTGCTCATGTTATGTCTGGGTCCTCTGCACTTGGGACCCTCGTCACCTCCCAGCACAAGAGGTTCAAAAATGCGATTACATCCCTGTGACCTATCAGCGTCTTCCTGTCATCACCCATTCCACTCACACCATTCCGACACAGGTGTTGCCCCCTTCCACCAATTCTGTCCAACCAAATAGGAGGCTGGTCATCTTCACTCCTTCACTCCTCTGCTTGGATGCCGGGCTCGGGTCCCTTAGCACTGGTGTTGTCTCTTCCTAGCATGTCTCAGCTCGGCCGCTTTCTCTCCGTCCGCGCTTGTCCCTTAAGCCTCGCTGCGGCTACAGCCACATGGCTGGGCCTCCGGACCCATGTCTTTTTCCCGTCTAGCTGACTCCGGCGGCTGCACGCTGCTAACCTCAGCGTGCGTCACCTAAAATTCCCATCACCTTGACACGTCCTGGCACCTCTGCGTCTCCACTTCCATCGTCTGTAAGACAAAGAGCCAGGCAATTTTCGGTGCCCTGACCCCCGTGCTGCACTTTGTTTCTGTTGCTGGACTCGCCCTTATCAGTGCTTCCTCGGACACTTTTCACCACGTCGCTCATTTCATTTTCATGCTGATCGTGTGGGGGAGGGTCTGACTGTGAGCACCGACAGTTTACAGATGAGAAAACCAAAGCTCAGAGGACCCGAGCGGCGCTCTCTCTGCCGCGTGCAGGGCACGGCCTGAGCCAGGCCCCAGGGGTTCCGAAGCATCGGTGGCCTCCCCTGCCCCACTGGCTCCCGTGCTCCAGCTGGGTCAGCTGCCACCTTCCGCGTAGTCCCCAGCACCGTCTGGGGAATTCAAGCGTTTTTCAGCCCCCACTGCTCCCCCAGTGTCGAGTAGCCAGGATGCAGAGGCTCCACGTGTCGCCCCAATTCAGCTCGGCATCCTTCCCTGGCCTCTCTGGAGCTCTGGCCGGCCGTCAGAGAGCAGATTGCAGACCACCACCTGCACCTAAAGGATGGCGGCAGGCTCCAGCCGCCTCCTCCTGGGCTCGCTGCTCCCTCCATGGCGCGCGCCCTGCTGAAGTATCTTTATCAAGTGGAGCTCTGGCGTGCCTCCCCGCCTCCGTGCCTCCCACACCTGCAGAGAAAGTGCGGCCCCCCTGGGCCAGGCCCATGGGCTGCTCCCGGGTCTGGCCCGGCCACCTCGCTCCCCCTCTTTCCTCTGCTCCCGGCTTTTGCTACAGCCACACGAATGGCCTGCCAGTAATGCTCTATTTCTTGTTTGATAGGCTTCCGGGCCGCACTCAGGTCTCTGATGGTATCAGTGGGAAAAGTCCATTCTCAGCAGGCACCCCAGAACTGTCGTGCCGGGCGAGCTGCGGAGGCGGGGAGGCCAGCTACAGGCAGCCTCCACACACACGCCAGGCACCTCGGAAGTGGTGGGGCAGTGGGCGCTGGTGCCTGTCCATCGTCACAGCTCCTGTCCATGAACTTTGAGAGCCTCTTATGTCCAGATGGGCAACATGGTCATCACCCTGGAAGCAGAATGTTAAAGGGCCTCCCTGCTTGCGGGAGCAACCTGGTGTGCCGGCACGGCCAGCACTCTGCCCCTTCCCAGCGTCTCTTGTTGCACACCCACCTCCACTGCCGCGCCTTGCGGCCCCTGCGGGCCCTCTCCGTCAGCTTGGGGCCTTGAGCAGTAGTGTGATGCTGTTCCCTGCACAGCCCTGGGGCCTGGGGCCGGGGTCCAGTGGGAAATGGCGCTGCCCCGTGAGAAGACCAGCTCCCTCCCTGTCCTGCCTGTGTGTGTGTGCTAGAGCTGCTGTAAACAAAGTGTCCCAATGAGTGGCTTCAACAGCAGAAATATTATCATCTCGTAGTCTGGAGGCCAGGAAGTCCAAATCAAATGTTGGGAGGGTGTTTCCTTTGGGGAGCTGTGGGGGAAGGATCTGCTCTGGTCTCTCCTTGGCTTGTAGGTGGGCCCACCTTCACATTCATGTGGCATCTCCCTGCACGTGTGCCTGTCTCCCAAACTTCCCTTTCTATGTATGACACCAGTCATCCTGGATTAAGGCCCATCCAATGACCTCATTTTAATGTGACCGCCACTGCAATATCCCTATCTCCAAATAAGGTCACTTTTGAGGTACTTGGGTTTGGACTTCAGCATCATGACTAGGGGTGGGGGGAAAGGGACATAACTCAACCCACAACGCTGTCCTCGCCCCGAGCACTGCTCTCTGCTCTCTGCTCTACCTTTGTTCTCACTGTCTGCAGCCCTGGGATCCCGTACGTTGCCCTGAGAATGAAGCCAGAAATCAGCCCCGGATTCTGGCCTGAGCACTGTCTACGTGCCTTTTCCTTGAATTGTCTTTCAGTTCTCTGAGCCTCAATTCCTGAAACCAAAATGGAAGGAATAATTTCTGCCTTGCCTACTTCACAGAGCTACTTACTGTGTGCCCGCAATAGACAGAGACTATGACAGCATCCACAAATGTGAAATAGTACCACTGTATCATTATTACTACCAGTAATAATCAAGGAATACTGAGGCTAGAAAAAGTCTCACCTGTCCCTCTTAAACTGAAGGAAACCATTCCATTTTAATGCCATCCTTTTTTAATCTCCCAGAGGAAATCCAATGACTTTCCTAGTCTTCTATTCCAATGACCTACAAGTTGCACTCACTCTACAACCGCCCTCACCTAACTTAAATGCATCGTGCTACACTTTAGCCCACATATTTTACTGACCTGGGCCAGGGAACTGATCCTGCATGGTGTCTTTCAGTCAGCCATTTCCTGAAGTCAAGACTTGTCCTGAGTGCTTGCCAGGTGCCAGGCATTACAGGTGGGACGAGTGCCAGAGACAGAAAAGGCACAATCCTGACTTTTCTGTTGTTCGAAGTCCAGAGGCCAGGTGTTCCAGGGGTGCACACATCCCTTCTCCCAAAGAAGCCCCCTGCTCCAGTCCGCACCCCCTTGCACAGGCAGCGTTCCTCAGCCTGCGTGCTCCTTACACAGGGCCTGCCCGTCCACAGTGACCTGGACTTCTTTGCTGT